TTTGCTACGGGCTTGTGTGTTAGAAAAAGGTGGTGTGTGGGATACTCATTTGCCATTGATTGAGTTCACGTATAACAATAGTTACCATTCCAGTATCGGGATGACACCGTTTGAGGCTCTCTATGGTAGAAGATGCAGAACTCCTTTGTGTTGGTATAAGTCGGTGAGAATGTAGTTTTGGGGCCAGAGATTGTGCAACAGACTACTGAAACAGTTCAGATGATCCGTGAGAATATGAAAGCATCTCAGGATAGGAAGAAGAGTTATCACGATAACCGGAGGAAAGAGTTGGAATTCAGTGAAGGTGATCACGTGTTCTTGAGAGTTAACCCAGTGACCGATGTAGGTCAGGCGTTGAAGTCTAAGAAGTTGGACCCGAAGTTTATTGGGTCGTATCATATTTTACAGAGAGTTGGTACTGTGGCTTATAGGGTGGCGTTGCCACCTGAGCTTTCGAATTTGCATGACATGTTTAATGTGTCGCAACTTCGGAAGTATGTTGCGGATCCGTCTCATGTGATTCAGAGAGACGAAGTCCAAGTCCGGGAGAATCTAACCGTTGAAGCGATGCCGTTGAGGATTGAAGACCGCAAGATGAAGCGACTCAGCGGAAAAGAGATACCTTTGGTGAGAGTGGCTTGGGGAGGTGCTGCAGGAGGCAGTGTGACCTGGGAGTTGGAAAGCAGGATGCGGGATGCGTATCCAGAATTGTTTCCATCAGGTATTTTCGAGGACGAAAATAATTAAAGTGGGGGAGAGTTGTAACGCCCATTTTAATTATCTCATTTTTTCTGTATATTTTATTTGTTGTGTGCCTTCTGTGTTAAGGGTGTGGTTGAGTACGATAGCGTGTAGCCCTTAAGTTGGAATTTATTAATAATTTTGGACCTTGGTATTGATAATAATATTTAGTGATGATAATTTAATTAATAATGGTAATATTATCATTAATATTATTATTATTAACATTATTATTGTTAATATTATTATTATTATTATTAAGTAATAAAAAGGAAATGGAATAAAAGAATTGGGAGGAGGGGTATGTTTGAAATATTGTAAATAAGGAAAGAGTAGAAACACGTTAGAGGAGAAGAAAACAAGAACACGATCAAGAGGAATTGAAAAGAAGAAGAAGGTGAATTGGAGCAAGAGGAAACTAAGATCATCATCAGAGCAAGAGCTTTCAGCATTCGAACGAGTTATCGAGGTAGGGGGGGGGAATCGGGTCAATTTCGGTAGTTGCATGAATATTAGGTAGAAGGAGATTTCCCTAACCCCATTAAGTTTTGATGATGATGTGGTATGAATGTTTGATTCTGGGTTGCTGATAGTGTGTTGATTCTATTGCATGCGATGAAGTGTGATTGTTTAGGTGATTTGGGGGTTCCCGGTAGTTCAAAGTTTTAAGCCAGAAGTGATTATTTTGGTATAGCCGAGAGTTTATCGGGTGAAATCGAGAGGAGACTCTGTGATTGAATTGTTACATGTTGTTCTGATATTGTGGGAACTGAGTTAAGGAGAATCGGGCGAGTTCGGAGAGTTTCGCCGACTCTGAGCAGCAAAATTGTTGAGAATTCGCAGACGCTCGCTAGCTGCTTCGCTGAGCGAGCTGGTAGCGAACCTTCGCCAGGAGTTCGCTGAGCGAACGAGGTAGCGAGTGCTCCCAGAATGCCTCTAGTTGGCTTCGCTAGGGTGCTCGCTGAGCGAGCATGTAACGAGCATTCGCTGATGCTTCGCTAGGCGAGGGAGCCAGCGAGCATGACAGTATTTTGTGTTTTTATGTTGTCCTATTCCGTTTTCTTGTGTTTTTGGGACCCTTGCTTGTCGTGCTTGAGAGTGAGCTTGAGTTTGGTCTGTGGAGAGTGTAAGTGTGATATTGGAACGTGATTTCCATGATACTTGCGTAATTATAAATATTTGAATTAATGTGTATCATATATGTATGATGTATGAATGTGGTGATGTGTGAAACATGTATGATGGATAAGATGTGATCCGTGGAATTGTGTACACTTAGTGTATCTGATGTGGTGTGTTGTGCATTGGGGTTATGCATAGCATGGTGTGATGATGTGCTCCTGTGTGGAGGGTGATGGCCTAGTGTCCATCGGTAGCGATAATGTGCTCTTGTGCGAGGGTGATGGACAGGTGCCCATCGGTGATTGTGAGGGATAAATCTTGTCTCAGAGGAGCGTAAGTGATCTATTCTGTTTATAATGTGCTCCTGTGTGGAGGGTGATGGTCTGGTGCCCATCGGTGATGATGATATGTTCCTTCGGGAAAAGGGTGATGGCCAGGTGCCCATCGGTGTTGTTGGGTTAGTACCGCATATCATGGGTTGAGTTGCATGTGTTGCATTGTTGTATATGTTGTGTTGGCGTGGGACAGTAGGTCCGGGTTGATGTGTGTGAATTGATGATTGTGTGTTACTGCCTTTTTATTCATGTATGTTTATACCGTTATATTTTGATCGTGATTTCTTACCCCTTTGCTTTTGTTGTGGTCTATGCTTCTTCGGAAGTACAGATAATTCAGGTGTGTAGCTAGTTTGGATTGTGGGGAGTTGTGTCGTAGGGATGCTCTGATACGTAACACCGGGGCTTTGGGGAGTTGCTTGTTTATCCGATGATTTTGTGTGCCTCCGTGGCGTATCATGTTTTGATGAGTTCTCTTAGTGAATGTATGTCTGGTGTATTTTGGGCAGTTGGCCGAGGATGATGTATATGACATGTATATGATGGTTATATATATATATATATATATATATATATATATATATATATATATATATATATATATATATATATATATATATATATATATATATATATATATATATATATATATATATATATATATATATATATATATATATATATGATGACGAATTTTTCCGTTGTTTACTATTATTGATATCATTTAATGAAGATGTTTTGTTTGGTTTCTTCTGTGACATCCCATTTTGTGGTGTGAAACTCTGATAATTGTTTATTTTAATTGCATGTATTTAATTTTGGGAAACTGGGTGTTACAGAAGACATCAAGAATATATGTAGAGTTAGTTGGTCTAATATTTGCAGAAGCAAAGAAGAAGACGGTCTTGGTGTGAAGCATTGTGAATTGCTCAATTGGGACCTGCTGAGTAAATGGCTTTGGAGGATTGTAAAGGACAATAGTAGTCATATTTGACTTGATTTGTTGAGGTTTAGATATGGAGATCTCAAAGGAAAAATTCTCAATTAAGCATCTCCCTCTTTTGACAAGAAAGATTCAACGTGGTGGAAGGATCTTCTCACTACCTGTCATAATTCCTCGACCGAAGAGAATTGATTTTCTAATTCCAATTCTTGTAAATTAGGTGTTGGTAAGGAAATCGATTGCTAAAACTGCAGATGGTTTGGTCCAACATCTTTTTGCAGATTATTTACAAATGTCTTCGAGACCTTCGATAATTTTAGCCACAAAGTTTTTCATTTAGGAGCTTGACAAGGTGAGAAGTGGAACTGGAGTTTTTCCCTTCTATCTCTGATACAGTAGTTATAAGAGAAGTATCTGAGATGATGATTAATTAGAAGTATCTGAGATGATGAAAACAATTAATCATGTTCAAATTAACCCTTACATAAAGGATAAATTCATTTCGTGGAAGAATAAATTAGGATTCAGTGTGAGTAGCAGTTATGCGATTTCTGCCAATTTAGAATTAATTCTCTGTTGATGGTTTTGGCACAGGTGTGGAGGTCATACATTCCCTATTCAATCAAACTTTTTTGTTGGAGGTTAATTCAGTCACGTCTCCCAACTAGATATCAACTTGAAAACAGAGGAGTGCTTGATGGAAGACATAGTTTGTTATGTCCTTTGTGTAATGTAGAAGTCGAAATTGAGACTCGTCTTTTTCTTTTTTGCTTTGTTAGCTTGGGAATCAGCTAACAAGTTTACAATTGGAACGGTTTTAATATGGTGGATAATTCCAGCTCCATTTCCATGTATTTCGAGAATTTACGCAATCTGTCCAGATAGAATTTTCATTCAAATTTATTTGCTTTCTTCTGGTATGCTGTTTGTTGGAACTTGTGGATTTGTAGGAACAAGTTAAGTTTTGAGGACACTATGCATAGGAAGAAAATGCAGACTTGGGAATGGTATCAGGTGCACTTTCAAAAAGCTTATAACTGTTGGAATGATTGAAAATCGATCCGTGGTTGGTTCTTAGATGATCCCCTTTTCTCTTTGTGTTTTTTTTCCTTCTTTTTTTCTTCCTGTTTTTTCTGTTTTTCCACATGTTTTGAATTCTCTTTATGTATTAAAGACTGAGTACCTGTATACTCTAATATATTTGGTTCTTATAAAAAAAAAAAAAACTAAAAACCCGAAGGAGTGCTTTCTAAAAGACATTTGATCTAACTTCTAACAATATTAACTTCAGTATATTTTATGTGACTCTTAAAATCACTTTAAAAATTCATTGTGTGGCTAAATACACTTTACTATAAAATTCATAAGAAATCCAAAGAGCTTTAAAAATAACTTTAAGATCACTTACTAATAATTTGCATGCTATTAGCTAGTTAAATTCGAACCGCTTTGTTGATGTAGTCATAATATGTGATATTTGTTGCAACTTGTATTCCTATTTTTCAATAATCTTAAAAGTATCTGACTTCAAAATAAGTCCCTCAAACAGCTATCCTCATCTTTTACAATCATTTCTCACCAGCTTTTTTCATAGTTCAACTTCTGGTTTAATAACACTATATAAATGTTTGTACATGTACCAGTTAAAACCATTTGAAATTGAAATTAAAGGACAGGTGGTTCAGTTTCTTAATAATGCCAACAACTTTAATTCATATAGTAATAGCATAAGCATTCACTTGGCAACAACAAGTTAACAAAATACAGTCAGAAACTGATTTTCCTAAGCAAGATCTTAACACAAAGATTACACTTTGGTTTTAGTTTATAATGATAATAATAAAACAAACAAAAGCATTCTAAATGCGACTATCCCAGAGGGATTCTTGCTGAACTTTACCACTTTTCAGAAGCCTCTCAATTTCCTGCGGAGGGTTCAAACCGAGTTTCACCGCACGCTCCCAGCGTGCCAGCCTCGTCATCCCTATGCAAGGACCATAAGCCGTGTTCATGTCAAATTGGCGCAACACCGACTCACTTTCGTTGTATTCATCTTAAATCCACAAAGCACACATCAGATTACAGAAAAAAAAATGAAGTGATTTGGGCGAATGATAAAACCCTAGAAATTAAAAGAAATGAAAGAATTAGAACCTTGGAGATCTGGTTTTCCGTTGCGGGATGTGAGGGCTGGAGGTTGGGCGACATTGGAACTGAAAGTGGCGGCATGAATCGGCGGTTTCTTGGCGTTGGCTGTGGCGGTGGTGGGGTTTTTTCTTTGCTTGTAGAAACCTTTGATATTTCCCGATGACATTTTCTCTTTCTCTCTCTCAATCCTTTTTCAAAATTTGAATTTTGAAAAATGCTTGAATCTCTCTAACTGTCTAAAGAAGCATCCACATTTAAATAATCCCATCTTGAAACTCCAAAGAACACAAGATTGATTTATTTAATTTTTTTTCATTCTTTATTAGTTTATTCTTAAAAAGATAAAATATATTAAAGAGTATACAAGCTTTGAAAATAACAAACAACTATATTATTTAATAAATAACTTAATATATTAAAATTAAATAGTATCAAGTGATTGATGGATTGAATATATACTATTCAACTTTTTATGATAAATAGATAAATTGTCCTCTTTTTAAAATACACATAAATCAAAGAGAGTAAAATGGCAAATTAATGACATTGTTTAAGTTTTGTTTTTATTTTTGTAATTTTTTACTGAAGCTGCATGCCATTTAAAACAAAAGAAGTTGTTGCAACATCATACTACTTAACTGATAATCATGAAAATGCTCTGAAGTCGTTTGATGAAATGTATGAGAGGAATGGTGACACTGGAATAACTATCAAGGTCCTTAATATTCATTTTCAAATGAAGAATTATTACATATTTAAAACAATGATCAGTCATTTTACTTAGAACAGAATCAAATCCTATTGAAATCAAGGTATCAATTTTTATGTCAAGCCACAGAAGTTGTGTTTCTCTTATCCTAAAAAGAGTAGGATTATTTGCCACTATTGCCCCATCTTAACAGCCGTTGACAACTTAGGATCATTGCAGGATGAAGAGACACATGTCAAGAACAATACAGATGAGGAAGTCACAAATATAAATACATGTCACTTGATATAAACAACAACAGAGCCATCAGTACCATCAGAGAAATAATCAAGATAATATGGATTTACAATGGAAAAATGAATTATAAAGACCCAATATATCATCAACCACATACATGTGTAAATTATAAGCACATATAAACATTAAAAGAATATTAGGTCCACGCCTAATAATTGTGAAATATAAATGGTTGAGATTGAATTTATTTTTAGGTTAAGCGAAATTCTTCATAGGTTGTGGTTGAATTTTAACATCTGGTATCAGAGCTCCGGTTGCGATTCAAAGAATAAATCATTCAAACGGGCACTTTCCGGTGAATCTTCTGATTCTCAAGAAAGATAATTATGAGAATTGGTGCAAGCAGATTAAGGTGATTTTATGTTATCAAGATCTTTGGGATCTTGTGAAGGAAGAAGTAACACCGCTTGTAGAAAAACCAACGGATCAAGAAAAGATTGCACACAAAGAATTGAAGAAGAAAGATTATAAAGCTCTCTTTATAATCCATCAATGTGTTGATCCAGATAATTTTGAAAACGTTAGTGATGTAGAATCAACGAAGGAAGTGTGAGAAATTCTAGAGAAGTTGTTTAGAGGAGAAAAAAGGTGAAAGATGTGAGGTTACAAACTCACAAGAGAACCTATGAATTGCTTCAGATGGAAGAAAGTGAAAGTATAACAATTTTCTTCACTAGGGTTACGAAATTGGTGAATCAAATCAAGGTATGTGGAGAAGTGTTGACATCAAGATCAGTTGTTGCAAAGATCTTGAGGTCATTGACTCCAAAGTTCGACCACGTGATAGTAGTCATAGAAGAGTCGGAAGACTTGTCAGTATTGACGAAAGAAGAGTTTCAAGGGACACTTGAGTCTCATGAACAAAGGATGGCTAAAAGAGCTGCAGGAAAGTCGAAGAGTGATATGGCTTTGCAAGTGCAGTCAGAAAAAGAAAAGAAAGGCAAAGGAAGTTGGAATGACAACAAAGGTAGAGGAGGCTACAACAATTCGACTGGTCGAAATCAGCAGGAAGGTAACTGGTCGAATCAGAGAAAACCCTGGAACCAAGGCAACCCAAGAGGTAGTGCTGCAGGTAGAGGAATAGGTGGTGGTCGAAAACATGATAAAAGTCATATTCAGTGTTACAATTGTCAGAAGTATGACCACTATTTTAGTGAGTGTAGAGAAAAGAAGAAGAATCAAAAAACTGATGCAAAGTTGGTCAAACATGAAAAAGAATAAATGTTGTTGATGGTCACAACAAGTGATGAAGAAAGATTCCAGGACCAATGGTACTTGGACTTAGGATGCTCATCACATATGAATGGTAGGAAAGATTGGTTTGTTAACATGAATCCGTCAATGAAGAATATGCTAAAATTTGCAAATGACAATACTCTAGCAGCTGAAGGTATTTGTGATGTTCTGATTATGAAGAAAGATGACAAGAGGTCAGTAATTTCCAATTTGTTGTACATACCAGGCATGAAGAGTAATTTTCTCAGGATATGGTAGTTGGTCAAAAAGAACTACAAGGTTTCTATCGAAGACAAGATGATGAAAGTTCTCGACTCAGGAGAAAGGTTAATCTTGAAGGCTCTTGTTCTGAACTGGGTCAGAGGCTGACCCACCGTCGGGCACAACCCAGCCCAGCTTCTCGTCGGGGAGGGGCCAATGAAGGCCCAACCCGTCAGTCCACACGGGGAGCTTCCACACGTCTCCCCCACGAACTCTATATGCCCCTCACACGGGGACACGTTGTTGCACCCCAAAATTTACACAACTTTTTTCTTTAACTGGTTTATGTTTCATTGCATTATCATTTACATAGCTATATCATTTTCATATCATAACATCATTCATCCAACAGGGGATCAAGTGTGTTTTTGCCAAGAGAAGCCTAGCAAGAAATCTTATCCAAGCTTGAGAAGTCATCCAAGTCATCAGGAGGTGGTGGGAGGTCTTGATCAGCTGAGGACCATCAATGGGATGTGAAGCATGAGGTGTGAATATGAGATGTGTATAGAGCTCATAGAGTGCCTAGAGAGCCATGTTGGAGCTAAATCAAGCCATTGTGTCAAATGCAAGAGCCACATTTGAGGTGCAAGCAATTAGGGTTTCATCTGGATCAACCCTAGGTCAATTGTGCAATTGAAGAGTATCAAAGCCTACTTTGAGGTCATGGAGTTCATGAAATGATGTGATAAGACATTTGTGGTGTTATGCCAATTACAAATCAAGAAGAATCAAGAATGTGGGAAGTTTCTAAATTAGGGTTTCATTGCAAATTACCCTGTTTAGTGCCTAACTTCAAGGTCATATAAACCAAGATACAAGTTTCAAATGGATCTTTGGACAAAATGAAACTTGTAGAGCATCTCAATACCTTTAATTTGAGTACTAGAAGTCCTCAAGGGGATTTATAGAACTCAAGTTATGGTCCAGACAAGATACAAGTCCTCAGATGCCTCTGAAATTTGTCTGTGAAAATCATCTGACTTCAAGGCTATTTTTGACCTAGAAGGAGGTTTCACATGAACTTTTGGTCAACATGAAAGTTGTTCCTAATGATCTTAGCTTTCTAAATTGTATTATAAGTCTTCCATATAATTTGTAGAACTCAAGTTATGAGGTTTACAAGTCAGGGGTATTTTGGGAAAATGAGATTATAGGCCATTTTGAATCATAGGTCAAAATCTCCAACTTGCACTTGTCAAATGGATTTTTGTTCAACATGAAAGTTGCTTAAAATGGAATTTTAATTGCAACCAAGTGGTCATTTGGGATTGGTTTGCCTTGTAGCAAAAAGTCACTTAAAATGGCCTAAAAAAGGGAATTTTTCAAATGGATTAAGGAGGGAAAATTGACTTTTTGAGTTAGAGAACCAAAACATGGCATATGAGTACATTTTTTGAATGGAAATCACATTCTAAGAACATTGGCATTGGCAGAATTTTGAGTATAGGCCAAGTTTTAGGAGTTGTCATTTAGATTACTTCACCATGAAGTTACATAATCAAAAATAACCAATGGATCAAATACAAGGATCAAATTCCAACCATTCACACTCCACATGCTGTTATTAGTTGAATTGAATCATCTTGGAGCCAAAACAATGCCATTTTCATGTACCTTCAAGAGCAAAAAGTGGTGAAATTTTGAAATTTCATTTTGGGCCTAGAGGCAAGGATTGGGCTTTCTCTTGATCCATATCCATTGTATATAAGATTTCTAACCTTCACAAATCATTAGTTTTTGGAAATTGGAGCAGAATTGATCAAGAACAAGCTTGAAAAAGTGAAGAACACTCAAAAATTGAATTCCAAGATCTAGATCGTTTCAGGCCAAATTGTGAATTGAGAAGGCTTTATTGAAGATCATTGAACGATTCTGGAGAGTTTCGCGAAGCTTCATCAAGGATTAAAGGCTCAGTGGAAGTTCTCCACTAGGTACTTGAATTTCACCATATCTCTCTTAATACTTGATGATTCTTTGCCATTTTCGTTTCTTTGCACTCCTTGAAGCATGTAGATCGTTTCTGGATAATAATTGTTGATGTTTATGACGTTCGAAATTTGGAGCTCCAAACTTGTGAGATTTTATATGGACTGTTTTGGCATGATTCGACTTAGTTTTTGCTTGATCTTTAACCTCCATGACATAAGGATGAGTTTAGAATTAATTTGGAGAAGTTTTAATGAACTTGAGATTTTGGTGTCAAACTTTGATTGATTCGTTTTTCTTTGAGCTTGCATTATTATTGATTTTTGATGAGATATTTGGAATCTTTGCGAAAAATCCTTCGATTTCGGTCCAAAAAAACGTGCAAAACGGATAAGAATTGAGAGAGTTATGGTTGTTCGAAGTTGCCAGAAATCATCACATCCATGGCTGCGGGTACTATTCATCATGCTGAAAAATTCCATTGGAGAAGATGAACATGCGCGCGCCACGTGTCATCACGCTAAAACAGCGTCGTTTTGGCCTAGCAAGGGGACCAGGCGCGCGCGGGTTCGATCCCTGCCCAGCGCGTTTTCATTTTTCTGCCTTACATTTCCATTAATTCACTTTCCATTATTTTCTTTTTATTTTTTTGTTTTATTGCCTGTTTGTTTTAATTACATTAAAAATAGTCTGAATCATCAAAAAATTATGAAATTTTTTTCTGTAGTTCCTGAATG